CAATCATTTCCTAGACTTCACCTATAATATACCCTATTAAATGTTAGAGGGGTTTGTCTGAACAGTTAAAAAAACTACGCTGCAGCTGATAAATACGCCATGTTTAATATCGAATTATCAACGAAAGTTACCCGTCATCGATATATATCGATCAATTTCTTAACTTAAAAACAGTTTTAGCTCAAACAATGCTCTCCAGGGTATCTCATTATCTGTTATTTTCTCAACTAGATATTGTTGCGTCTTAGCTTGTTTTCTCACACCTCTGGCGTGTCATTTTCATTTGTCTTCTTTTTGGTCTTCTTGTTTCCTCCTGTCATTTATCTTGTCAATAGAGATCGCAACTCCCCCTACAAAAAGAAAAGTGTTATTTAAACTCCTCAGTTGAGGTAATTAGAGAAGTTGCCAACTTGTTTGTTTGGAAGCTCACGCTGAATTTTGTTGCTGCCCCAAACCGGGCAGACTTCGTGTGTTGTTGTGTTTTTCTTTTTTGTTTTTGGGCTATTTAAAGTCGCTTTCGATTTGGCGATTTGGAAGTGTTCCAAATGCCGTGACTATTTCACTTAGAAATGTGCTAGCTAAAAAAGAAAAGAAAAGCATTGCGCGTTCCAATTTATGTGACATGTTGGAAATGTTGCGTTCTTGTTGCTGCTGATGTGTTGTCTTTTCTTGGGGCATTGACTTCCTGCTGAGCATATTTTCATATTTGGCTAAAATTTTGGCAAGCCAGGTGAGTTATGAGCTCGACGAGGAAGTTTTCCTTAACGAAAACGTATGCTCTACTTTCTGAAACTATTTTCGAGTATCTATCGCAAACCTAAGAACTTGTGAATCATATGCGCAGAAAGACAACGCATACAGCATGGCCTCTGGGGCGTAGGCAGTCCCACAAATTCTAGGGGCGATAAATATGTAAAAAACGCGGTCGAGGTCACGTACTGACATTTTCGATAATGAATGTTGTTGCTATTGTTGTTCGGCTAGTTAATTGTTGTTGTTGTTGTTGTCGTTGCTCAACTCTGGGCAGAAAAAATGTCTGAGTCAACGAACCTCGATCTAGAGATACAGACACAGATACGTGCCCAGAGTATTCTGTGTTATAAATAGTCGCCGCATTAGAAGATCTTTTGGCCAGACGCACGAATTTAACACTCGAATGTGTTCAACATTTGCATGAATGTGTGCGAATGAGTAGCGAAGCGAGAGGCGCACAAACTTGTGCGTCATGCTGGTCGCCAACAATTGGAGGACAGTGTGTTGAAACTGGGCCTGCAGAAGAAGCAGAAACAGCAACAGCAGAGGGCCCACTACTTGGAATTTATGTGGCCAGGCAGCAGCCCAATTAGCATTTAGCTGGCAAAATGTAGTCAAAACTCATTTCTCATCTGGCGCCAGCTGGAAAAAATTGCTCGAGTTTATGTTTAATGGACGCACACAAATCATAATCTAGCTCAGAAGAAACGAGAGTCAAGAAATATTATGTAAAACTACTAAAAGTATGCTTAAAACGTGACTATGCGGTCTGTAGTGGGAAATTGGGCATATTACGTATACGAGGCGTTGACAACATTTATTGTTAACTTAGGGAAAGGCTCCTAAGGGTGCCATCATCTAAGACTCTAAGTTCTTGATCAAGATCTTCAAATCTTAGAATTTAAGAAACTTTTTAACACTTATCTAGAAAACAAACAAGAACAATGCCTACTTTAAAGGCCGCTACTCAGCGCTCAGTTCTCCATGAATTCTTAAGAAACTCAACAGCAAAATAAGAACTTGATTTGCCTTCATATAACTGCTCTGGCAGTTCTGAGCTTCAATTTCAATATTGCGCCCACTGTGCATTCACTTTTCTTCGGCCAATAAATTCAGCTTGCCTTACCCCCCGGGGCTCCTCTTCTGGCAACATGTTGCCAACTGGGCGCCGCTTCTGCCTTCTGAGTGCATCAAAGTCTCAATTGCAATCACAACAGAGCCAAACGGAACATCTCAAGTTCAGTCGCAGATTAGTCACGAACTTTTTGCATAAAATTCAGGCTCATATTTATTTTATTCTGCCAGTGTTCTGAAACTGGAACTGCCGCGCAGCTGAGTTGCGGTTCAGGTGGGTGGGTTGAGCGTGTGCAAAATGCATTAAGAGGCTCGCCAAATTGCCAAGACCAAGAGTCGTGCAAAGATTGGGAGTGGTGGCAGCCAGCCACGAGGCAAAAGGCATACACCAGCCTCCATCCACTTTGCGGCACCAACTCGACTGAACTCAACTCAACTAAACTCGACTCTTGCCTGAGTTTAAACAAAGAGAAAGGCGTTGCTCTATGGCAATTGTTGTTTTTGTTGTTTTTTTTTCTCCTCGGTTTTTGGGCACTCGCTCTTCAGTTTGTAATGAGCCGCAACTATCGCAAATAAGCAGCCGCTTGGCCACACCCACACCGCCTCCACACACACACACACACACACAACCACAAACACACCTGTCCAAGTCTTGGCTTCTTATTGCCAGCTGCTGGGGGCCTGCTCCAAGAACTTGAAACAACTTCATGACTCGCGACTCAACTCTCAACTAATGGCTACGAATTTGGCTGCACACTTTAGAAGCTAAGTTGATTTTTATTTGCCAAGCCTCTACAATTGAAGACCCTCCCCACACCCCTTTCCCCCTCTTGGCTCTCTTAACCTATCGAACAAGTTCTTTGTTTTTTCGCCGTGCCTCTTGCAGCTCATAATTAGATATAATGATAAAAAAAATATAAGTATAAAAAAATATCATAATACAAACAATTTCTGGCTCGAGTCGCCTGTAAAGACGCAGAAAATTATCTAGCGGAAAATTCCAATAAAATAGATTTTCGATTTTCGAAAAGTGCTAGGCTAGAAAATGCTGCAGCTCGTTTAAATATTTAGTCGTCGATCGAAATACTGCAGCAAAAGCCATTGAACTGGAAGATTTTTTAGCTGGGTGTGGACGAACATGTACAAGAAATTGCAAGAAGGTTAGATTAGAATAATGAAAGAGGCAGATGAATGAAGTTGATGTAAAATATTGTAGGTACAATAAATGCCAGATGGGTTTTATAAAAAGAATCAGAAGATGTGATATAATTTGAATGTGCCTGGCGGAAGATCTAGTTAGAAAGTTAAGAGCAGAAAATGCCAGAAACATAAAAGGAAAGGATATATTAAAAAGCTTGATTCTGGGAATTGTCACATGTATTATAAATACGAGTCCAAGATGCTTGAGAGCTGTCGATATTGATATACAAAAATTTGTGGGCAGTAAAAAAAGGAAAAACCAATAAGCTTTCAATTGCAAGTACGTCAACTTTCCCAGCACGTCCGTTCCAGCTAAGTGAAGCTTTTCTAGTGTCCAATTTTGACCAAGGAGTTTGTCGAATGGATCAAAACAAGCAGCTGGCGCAAAGTTTGCCAAATGTCAAAATGTCAAATGGAAATCATATACATAAAATCTCACGAATTGTAAACTAAGAGGGACGCGAACATTCAAATCGATAAACGAGCGCCTTTTTGTGACATTTCAATTTGTTTGTCGAGAGGAAAAATAAAAAAAAAAGGAAAAAGAAGGTACAAATGAGCAGCCCAACAGGTGAAAATTTAAATTTATGACTTGTGAGCTGGAGAAATGCACAGGATGTGCGGCAAACAGTCGCTGCCATAAGTAAGTGTCTGCCAGGTGTCGTTGGGTTATTTTTGTTTTTTATTTCGACTTGGTCGCTTCATCATATTTATCGATTTCTAATGCCAAAGCTGACAGCTATTGTGGTTGTTGTTGCTGTTTACATAGCCAACAGATGCCACATGATGCAAGAGTTCGTTTAGGTTAAACTGTTGTATGAAGATCAATGTACGATAACCACCAAGCGAGCTTTGCCAATGGTCATGTGTGTGCGTGCGTGTGTGTGTGTGTGTGTGTGTGTGTGTGTGAGTGTCTGCGGTTTGGTGGGTGTCATTGTGCGGCATTTGGCGCTGCCACGCCCCCGCCCCATAGCCTCACCTTTGACCGCTGCGTGTCAATTACATTTGTAATTATTTTTATAATCATTTTTTGTTTTTTGTTTTATTATTATTTGATAAATTGAATATCGCACGCCGCATTCGCAGACGCTTGAGTGTGGCCAATGCGGAAAGCCTTTTTGGCCAATTCCATTTATCGATTAATCTTCGCAAATACAATGGACGGATGCATGCGCTTATGCAATGTGTGGGATTTGACCTTTGTGTGGCCGGGCGGGTTCGTCTGCCCGACGCCGATGACAAATGAGTGATGAAAATCTAAGACAAGACATTGCTGCCCATAAACGGAAATGGGATTGGGTGTCTTCGGTCCTATGAGAGGAGTTGGCTGCACTGAAAATAAAATTGTGCTAATAAATGCAAATATAACTATATTCTTGATTTGAGCTTGAAGGTTTCTAGAGTTTGAGCAAATGTTAAGTGAAACTGAAAGAAATTGACTTCAATTTCAAAGAGTTCTAACTTTTTTCATATGCCGTTGATCAAGAATATTCTTAAGATAAATATGAATCAGGCCAGGATTATGTACAAAATACTTTTTATAAGAACTCAGCTTTAAAAATAAAATAAAATTGAAATATTTATTTCATTAAAATGTATTCAATTCGGAGCTTTAAACAATTTCTGCAAATTTATCATCTATTTTTTCGCTGCCAAAACGGAAACCCTAGTGATTATTTCTCTCAGTGCATGAGGTGCAGTCGATTCATTAGGGTTCTGAGAGGCAAAGTCTAGTCGTTTGGTCTGTGCCGCGCCCAACTAAGGCAGCCCACGCGCTTTCGGCGAACGTGGCAACAACTTCATTGGCAAATCGCGTCTAGTCAACTAGTTGGTTCAGTCACGTGTCCAATGCTCGCGCCATATTAAGTATACGACATGTGTGTTCGCTTTCGAATTGATTGTTAAATACGAATTGACACCTTTGCCCATGTCGCCACATGCATTCAATGTTTGATTTCTTTCTCTATTTCCAGGTGTTGTACCATGAAATTGTATCACACGCTCGAGTTGTAAGCGCTTGCATTCGCGCCGCCTCCGAAAGGGAACGGGAACGGGAACAATCGCAGTCACAGCCACAGTTGCAGCAACAACCCGCATCTCTCACCAGCAATTGCTCCAGTGAATCGACCAGCGATTCGGTAACCAAATCGCATAGTCTCAGCAGCGGCTTCGCCTCTGATGCAGCCCAATTGATCACGCCCAGCAGCACAGCGGCCACAACTGGCACTGGAATCGTCGCAGCTGGCGGCGGCAGCACAGCTCATCCCAGGAAGGGTGAGGGCAATTTGGAGCGACTACGCGATCGTTATCATCTGATCTATTTGAAGGCCTTTGAGCTGCAACTCTGCCTCGACAATTTACTGCGCAAACGCAGCTCCACAGCGGTAAGTCCATAATTCAACCAATTATCTTTAATAATATGTTTGAGTACAAGAAGAAATAAAATATGAGCAGGAGATTTCGATTTACATTTGATTTCAACTGCAAGTGTTTGGCTAGAATTTAGATAAATCTAATTTTGTGTTGTTTGATAGACTTGAGAATCATTTTTAAATATATATAACATACGGGATATGTGATGAGTTCATGGCAAATCCACTTGAACGAGCGGAATATGGGTGGAAATCTTAAGAAAATATCTGGCCAAGCAATGCAATGGATTGCAATTGTCTTATTCTAGAATTCGTCAACTTGAACTTCGGCCAGCACGAAAATAAAACCCAATGGGATAGTTTTGCCTTAGTCTGTGTATCTTTAAATTCATTATAGCTCAAGATTTTCCATTTTCTATTTAAAAAAAAAAAAAGAAACAAAAATACGTTGCATGCCGTGCATTCTTGGAAAATAGAAATTCAACCACTTTGATGGCTGCTCTTCTCGCATTGTATTGGCGCCGCTTTCCTTTCCTCTGCCGACTGCGGGCTGCCTTTTGTGTCCGCCTCACGCCAATTGCGGGCATTTCTAATTACGAAAGTGTCTCTCCTTCACTGATTTAATTAATTCATTTGGTGAAAATGCCGGCAATGCGTTGGCCAACAAGCCGCAAATGCCTCAAAAGCCATCAACTTGTTGGCCAACAACAACAGCAGCGCTGCAACAACTGTTGACCAACTGATGCACACCCAATGTGCCAGAAGACACTTCAAACTACACAACAACAAATGTCTTCAAACTGTACAATTTCTCCAGGCAAATAGTTGCGTGATTGTGGCTAAATGCAGGTTCTTTTAGTTTGAGAATGTGAACGATGAAAAAGCTGCAAAATGCGCTATAAAAACTATCTAAAAAAAAATGGCAAATGTGGTATAGGATATCATATCCTAGATAACATTTGCAGAATATTTTAGATTTTTATCGTATCTCAAAATTTTAAATAATAAATTTTAATAGAAGAGAAAGGCTTGAAATTGCATATGCTATATAGAAATTATCTTATGGATCTTTTAATTCATTTTCAAGAAAAAAACTATGACATTTGCAATGGTAATTTTTAGATAGTATTTTAATTTGTTTATTTTTATAAAAAAGAAATTTAGGCCTTTAGAAGTTAAAATTTGTTTAAAAGCGACGCGCTCTAATTGGCAAGCAACAACTTAATATATTTATTTAACTCAGCAATAAAGTTCCCCCACATTCTGGTTTAGTATTTTCGCATAACGTGTTCCTTTCTAGCCTTTCCAACATAATTGCTCGATTCTCTCTAGCCCACACAAGCGCACGCTATATCTCCTGCTGCTTCTCCAACCCCCCTCTCTCTGCCCTCTCTCCCTCTCTCACTGTGTGTCGCTTCATCCCACTCACTTTGACAGCTGCTAGTGAAAGTCTTTGCCTATAATCACATTGACCCAGTTAACAGAGCACTCCACCTCTTCCTCTAGCTACGCCGGCTGGCGAGCTCGTTCTCTGATTTGTGCCACTTTAAACGTTTCCTGGTCAAAGTTCTGAGGCACCCAGCCCGGCCGCCGGCAACGGCTACCATAATATAATTGCAAACGCTTTGTAAGCCGGCCTCCTCACTCCCCGGTAACAACATTTTAATTGTGTATAATTTAGCAACTGCCCCTATCTCGCTCTCCCTCTCTCTCTCTCTCTCTCTCTCTATCTGTTGCTCTTGGAGAGACGCCCCGACCCGTGCCGTGTGCCGTGTTGTCTTGTTTGCACTGGGATGTCGTAATTCATGCAAGGCACGCACTGCAGCAGCTAGCTGACCCACACGGTGGGGCTGCCCTGGCTGTCAAGCCTGCGGCTCTGGAGCAGTTCATGATGCAGCTTGCAACCGCTTCATTTGTGGCTGAGTTTCTCCTGCCAGTGAGAAGAAACAATTTCATTTTCCTGCATTTCGACTCGCTTGCGCTCTGATGCAACAATTTGCATTGCTGTTTGCCCCAAGCTAGAACAACCCCGTGCCCGGTGCCCCTTGCCCCGCTGCATGTGGCATGACCAAATTGCCGCCGCCTATGCAATGTGAACACGCTGTTGCCTTATAATTTGCAACACTTTGCTGGCTCCACATTTTGTGCTCCACATTTTGGCGTAGCTAGAAGAAAACAAAAACGCCTCTCCATCAAACGTGTTGCTGCCGCGTCTGGCAACATGTTGCCAGCAACATTTTGTACCTCATTATGGCCAAATGTCAAAATGTGCGCATTAATTGCATTTGTGCCGTTTTTTATGCGCGTAATAAACCTGGCCAAAATGCACACAAACACATTGAGAAATATGCCTCATATAAGACGCTAAATTTAACGCGGGGCAAGTAAAAGTGAAATTTATGCCGACCCATTGCAACAAACTTGGCCCAGAGGTCGCGCTGGCAACTTCGAACTTGCCACCAGCCGCTGCAGCAGCTGCTGCGGCTGCCAATGGAAAGCGACTGGAAATGAACATGAAAATAAAAAAAATAAGAAAATAAAAATCAAACTTCCACAACAAATGAAAATAAACCAAATCAAATTTACGACGTGCCCAGCGAGACGATCGCGACTTCTCATAAAATGCATTTTATTTCTGCTGGCCTTTTGTCTTGGCTCCCTACTTCTCTCCCCCTTCCTCTCCGCCTGTCTCTTTTTTGCTCTGCCGGCATCCCTCTCATTTGCTCACGTTCACATCAATTTTGTTGGCCCTCACCACATTCGATAAACAAATGCAGTTTGCAATCGAATTACAATGATTACACTTGATTATTATTATATTTGACTTGTTGTGTAGCTGCTTCCTCCTTCCATTGGGTCTGCCGATCTCTTGTTTATTCTTGGGAGTAGAAAGAAAAAAATGCTGTATAATATTTGTTATTATACAGATCTTCAAGCTGCAGGCCAATGCACCTTTTGATTGATTCACCGGCCAGCTTGAAGGCCAAATACCAAGCGAAAGTGTTGAAAGAAATTCACATCTGGCAACATTTGTTTTTGGATTCTTCTTGTTAAACCTGCTGTTAAAAGCAATTCGCCCTTGTTAAACTTGAGTTGTGAGAAATATGATCTTGGCTACATGAGCCAAACAGGAATGTCAAGAATTCTTCCCACCTTTGCGGTCCTTTATTTCTAATATATAGCAAGGCAATAATAATAATTAAAATACGAGAAGAATTCTTTTTTCTGTACACCTTATATCGTCCCCTAATCTTGCCAATGAATATGTCAGCCTTTGGAAAAGTAATATGTAAAGAGATTTTTGTCTTTAGCAAATTTCATAAAGCTTTCAGAGAGTCTAATATTAATCAATTAATGCTTGCCAACCTTGAGGCACTTAACAACACTAAACCAAACAAGCCTCTTGCGAGTCAAGACGCGTTTATCAACACTCATCGAGCGATGTGAAGCTAATTGGATTTCCAGTCGTGTACAAATCGAACAGCCAATTAACGTCGATCAAAATAAAGTTTACAGCTTATGAATTTAATTGCCGCTCGTCAAATATTTAAATGTTGCGGCACATCAATCAAAGCCAAAAACATAAATCAAGAGTAATTCGAACGAGCGTCGCCTAAAATCACCAAAAACTCGGCAGCAGCTAGCCGAAAAAAAAAGAAACCCGAAAATATATAAACCGAATGCAAATTAATGTTGGCCAAATTGCATATTTTGTTTAAATACCCTGTGGTCGGTTTTAATGGGTAAAACAGGGTATATAGAGCTTGTTCAAAGGATTTGAAGGTCTTATATACCTTACAAGGATAAATATAGTTTTCGATAACTTTTATTGATAAATATCGATTTCCAAACCCGTTTTTGCCAGACGCTAAACCAAATTTGATAAGTAGCCAAACAATTGTATACACAATCCATAATCTTATTGAAATCGATAAATATCGATTGTCGATTCTGCTTTATTTTTAACTAAACTCAGAGTAGGAAAAAAACCAAAGATTTCCGTTAGCTCTCTTCGTTTCTGCTGATATCGATACATATCAATTTTTAATTCAGCATTATTGTAAATGCATTCTCAGAGTATATATAAACCGCGGCAACACATTGTGCGGGTAGCTTGTCAAAGAGCACGTATTTAAGTTCTTCTGCCAAAATCGATAAATATCGATTGCCAAGCCAATTTTTGTTAGACTTAATGCTGAGACAACCAATGAGGTGTGTAATAGTTGATATAGCAACAAACCGAAAACTGAATACAGGGTATTAACTAGCTTAGTATCATGAACTAGTTTATTTCTCATTCCTTTCATAAATCGAACGAACAAAACGAGGCACGAAAATGAACGAATGCGCTTTGAATAATAATTGACGGGCCAACATATGTCTGTCTGGGCGATTGTTGCTTTTAGTGTTGTTGTTGTTGTTGTATGCGATTCGTGTTGCGAATCGGAACTGCATTTGCATGTTGAACAACGACATTTACAAATTGTGACTATTTAATTGTGTGTGTGGTGTGTTGTGTGTGTGCTGCCCCGGAAGATGCGAGTGCTGAAAAAATTAAATCACAATAATTATGTAAATTTTGTTGTTGTCTTCAACCTGTGCGCGGGGCGTGCCACCCACAACAGCAACACGGAAGCTGCACCACTAATGGCCGTTGCATGCCACACACCAATACATATGCACACACATATATATCTATATATTTATTTACATGCCAAACAATGGCCGAATAAAAAAAGCTTAAGTTTCACTTTCTGACGCGCGTTGCAAGGCCGTTTAAACGGCAGGCAGCTGCCGCAGTTCGGGCCAATATAATTACCGCCTCTCGGTCTCACTTTCGTTTGGGGCCTGCTGGACAGCAGCACGGTAATTAGCCGCTGGCCAGCAACAACAACAACAACAGCAACAACAACAACACTTAGCAAAATGCTTCGTGTAATTGGAAGCTTGACCAAAAACGCTCGTCGTGCGGTTTAGCAGGCAAATTGGGTGGGTTTTTGTAAGAAATTGTT